GGGCTCGTTAGATTTAACGGCAGACGTTACAGTTTTGTGTTTCAGCTTTTCAGACTTCGTCCTGCTGCTCGTGAACTGAACCTCAGTGAAATGAAATCACAGTGAGAGTCTGTCCTTTGTATTTATGCTCTGGCTGCTTTGGGCTGGGAAACGCAACAATATCGTTTTGTTTGAACAAATGTTCAATAAATGTTTGATTTCATTCATTTGAATCAGGACTTATTTTATACACCCACAACAACAGGTGGCGCCAAATATGTAGTGATGGCGAGACGAAGCTCGGTGAAGCAGTGAAGCTTTCCATCCGATCGGTTGACTTCACGGTGCTTCGTTTGCTCCATCAAGTGAATCTAACGGCGCCACTTTGAGCTCTTACCCCATTTCATAAAGACAGACGCCATAAATTTACTCAGCTCGGAGCTTCACACACCAAAGTTTAATTCTTACAGTCTAACACAAAATGTTAATAAAATAAAATCCTCCACACTTTCAGCCAAAAGTTCCTGTTTGATCAGAGTTTTTGATCGGAGCAGTTCTGACAGAAGTTGATCAAATGATTTAGCCATTTAAAATGAGCTGTAGATTCAATCTGGGTTCAATTAAAATTTGCTGCTCCTTTCGGATCGCACGCCAAACCCACCAACCACAGATATTTGCAAAGCGCACGCCGCCCTCCTGACTGACGGCGCCGTGATGTCACGCTGGTGGTGGTTGTTTTTAACATCTTTGTAAATGAAATGGTCACATTTTAATACGTCTTATTCAGCGGACAGCCGACCTTGTTTATTATTTTATTTTCTAATAGAACAAAATTTTACTCGTGTATGTCGGTTTTTTAATCGTTCTTGTTGTGGATGTTCTTCCTCGGGTTGTGAAGCGTCACAGACCGAGTCGGCTCTATAATCGGCCCCTGCAGCCGGCTCACCCGCAGGAAGCTGGCTTAATTAAAACGTTCAGCCCTGTCGGAGCGTTTAAATAGTTTGTGATTCAGCGTCTTGTTAAAATCTGTGTTCACTGCAGCTCTGAACAACAGAAGCGCCTCAAACTTGTTGTTTTACATCACTGATCATCACTTCAGTTTCCCTGCAACATTTAGCCCGACAGTCGCCAAGATCAGGGTCGAGACTAAGATGTGAAGAAGGACGAGCGAGGACGCCAGGACGAGCGAGGACGCCAGGTGCAGCGTCGGCTCTGGGGGAAATGAAGTGTTTAAGCAGCAGCTGTGAGGAGAGCTGGTTGGTTTCTCTACAAGCTGTGATGCTTCCTTTCTGGGGCGAGTTCAGCGGAGGGTTCACCGTCTTTACCAAAGGAAACGAGCCGTCCCACAATTCCTAGCGCCGCAGCGCTGGAGTTTCGCCACAGCAGACCCACGTAAATGTAGAAACAACCGAGGGCTGTTTTACTCTCGTGTGACGAGCTGTGAATTCAGATTTCTGCTCGGTCAGATCATCCAGTCAGGAGGAGTCTTTAAAAACAAGCGTATTGATTATCCAGCTAACGATGACGTCGTCATCTTCTTTACACAGAAATGAACAAATGGAGAAAAAAGGTAAATTCTAGGCTGGACAATAAAACAATAATTATCACCATATAATTTTTTTCAATAACAATGTAACAAATGTTCAATAAATATTCATGATAATATTCATTCATTCATTCATTCATTCATTCATTCATTCATTCGTATTCAACATGTTAAGATGTTTAAGATTTTGTTGAGGAAAAAGAACTGAAAAAAGCTTTTCCTTCCTTTTACTTCAGGATATTTGTTGATCATGATTATTTTGAACGTTCTGCCTCAGATTTGTGAAGTGATCGACTGTTTGGCCTCAAGTGTTGAACATAAAAGTTTAAACCTCAGGTCACATCAGGTTTCTTCAACTTTTCACTCAGAAATCAGCCTTTAAACTCAAAAGAAAAAATACTTCCTTATTTAACTTTCTCTACTTGCGTATTAATTAGATTTTAGTTATTAGTTTCAGTTTTTATTTTAAATGCACCGGACGTGTTCACTGGAAACATCCTGGGGTTCTGTGTTGGACAGGAAACGTGTTTGTCTCTGTCCACGTGTTTATAGATAAAGTTGGTTTTGAAAATGAAGGCCAGCGGTCGCTCCTTTGAGCACCGAGGTCGTCTTTTCCTCACGAGGTCACGTCTGTTTGACGGACATGTTGTCTCTCTGTGTGTCAGTGGAGGCGGCGGGAGGGAAGGCGTTGGCCTGCGTGGTGGACATCCGTGACGAGCAGCAGATCGGAGACGCTGTTCAGAAAGCTGTCGACAAGTTTGGAGGTAACGCCATTTTTTTACAGCGTGGAGTTAAAACCCCCCAGGTGACCTGCTCAGGTAGGAACACATTCAAGGTCCGCCTCCTGTCTCCGGTCCGGGTGTGTCGGAGGGAGCAGGTATCAGGTCAGCTGATGGAGCCTTAACTCCGGCAGTGACATCATCACTGTGCTTGTCTGATTGGCAGGAATCGACATCCTGGTGAACAACGCCAGCGCCATCAGTCTGACGGGAACTCTGGAGACGCCCATGAAGAAGGTGGATCTGATGCTGGGAATCAACCTGAGAGGGACTTACCTGACGTACGAGCTGACTCACCTGTTACTGAACGCACGCTCATCGCGCGCTCGCCAGTTACTGAACACGCCCACCTGTTAACCGGCGCCTCTGTGTTTCAGGTCTAAGCTGGTCATCCCTCACCTGCTGAAGAGTCGCAGTCCTCACATCCTGAACCTGGCGCCTCCGCTCAATCTCAACCCCGTCTGGTTCAAGAACCACACAGGTAACCATAGCAACTGACCAGCCAGCATCCCATCATGCACCTGACAGTAATGACACGTCTGTTTTTTTTTCCCTCAGCGTACACGATGGCGAAGTACGGCATGTCCATGTGCGTCCTGGGAATGGCCGAAGAGTTCAGGGGTCAAATCGCTGTCAACGCCCTCTGGCCTCGAACCGGTCAGTGGCTACATGTTAGCATGCTAACGGACTCCTCATAGACTCGCAGTAAACTAGCTAATCGTGCTAACCCCGGTCTGAACTGTGTGTTGTTGCCATAGCGATCCAGACAGCAGCCATGGAGATGTTGGGCGGCGACGGTGTCAGTAAACAGTGTCGTACAGCTGACATCATGGCAGACGCCGCCTACGCCATCCTGTCCCGGCCGAAGGACTACACGGGTCACTTCCTGGTGGACGAGGACGTCCTGAAGGAGCAAGGAGTCAAAGACTTTGACCATTACGCCGTCCAGCCAGGTGACCGCACGCTAACTCAGCTAACACTGACTTATCACGGCGTTCCCGACACTGTCATGTGGTCTCACGGTGGTCTCTGATTGGTCAACAGGTCACCCCCTGCTACCGGACTTCTTCCTCGACGACGCACCTGAGGCGCTGGCCGAACAGATGGAGCAACACGGTGAGTACTGCGAGTTCTACTGCCAGTACTAGTACAGATTCAGACAGGAAGTCTTGACTTCTCCAGGCGTTGCTCCGGCGCCCCCTTATGTCTGAAATCAGCTTTTTCTTTCTCCTCGTTGCCAGGGGCGACCCCAGCCTTCAAGCCGCCATCTTCGGCCACGCCTCCCTCCAGTGGACAAATAGAAAAGACGTTTGATGTCATCAGAGCGGTCATTAACGAAGACGTCGTCAAGTCGACGCAGGGCATCTACCAGTTTGACCTATCAGGTACCAGCGGGGGCGCTCGGGGGGGGGCAGGCAAGTGGGCGTGTCTCTGATGTCACTGTGTTTGTGTCCATATAAGGAGAACACGGCGGCGTTTGGTTTCTGGACCTGAAGAGCGGCTCTGGCAGCGCCGGGCAGGGCCAGCCGCCCGTCAAGGCCGACGTCGTCATGACGATGGACTCCAGCGACTTCAGCAAGATGTTCGCAGGTGAGCCGTCGCCACGGTGACGCTGAGAATGACGTTAGACGTGAGAGGCGAGGGGTAACGGCGGCGTTTCTCTCTGCGTGCTGTTTCAGGGAAGCTGAAGCCCACGATGGCCTTCATGTCGGGGAAGCTGCGGATCAAAGGCGACATGACGCTCGCCATCAAGCTGGAGAAACTGATGGGCCGCATGAGCAAGGCCAAGCTGTGAAACCGCCGCCACGCTGCGATGCCGCCATGATGGACTGTAGCTGTACATGATGCCTTAACATAATAATTATGAGACGTCCCGACACTAATAAAATCTGCCTTGATAATAAACTGAAAACTGTTTTCTCTCTGCAACAAACCAGAAACACAAACTCGCCATCAAGTTCTCAGCGTTCGGCCTCTCAAGCCGTTTAACAGGAAGACAGAATGAAAACACGCCGCAGCCGCTGAACAACAAGTCACAGAGGAAAGTTTGAAAAAAGAGACTGTCTGCAGTGAAACCTCACTGAGGCCTCATTTCCTTTATTACACGTGTAAAAACTTCTTAAAATAAAATGAAAAATGTGGATAAGTATCTCTGAGGCTCCGCCCACACTCCTACATTTCTCATTTTAAACTCTGACCTTCTGCTACGCTTCCTCCCGTCCAGATTTAAACAGCGAATGCCAAAACCTAAAACGTTGATGTCGGAAAACACAAAGCTGCTGACAGAGCTTTAGTTTTGGTGTTTTTATTAAAGAGGTGGTTTTCTGCTCATCAGGTTCCTCATCTTATTTAGAGTTTGTACCAGAGCAGGTTTACATGGTTATATTTTTGTCATCCTGCACATTGCTGCAGCTCCTTTTTCCACCCTGTGTTGAAGGCTTCGTTTTAGCTATGGAGTGATACATCTTGTCTCTAAATGATCTTTGTTGAGAGTTGCACATGCTCAGTTCCTAGTTAAGGACTACTAGCCAATCAGAAGCAGAGAAGGGCGGGTCAGCGAGAGGCCGGTAAACGGCTCGGCAACACGGACTGGAGCGAGAGTTTCAGAGCGGTGAGTTATTAATCTGTATCCATAAAGTTTTAACTGAGCTCTGTCTCTACATCACAGGAACAACTTTATGTCCACTGACTGCCTGGAGGGTAGCTAGTGTTTGGAAGGGAGAGGAGAGCTGCGTGCTGCAGCTCGCTGTTTCCTGAGGGCGTGTCGGAGTTGCCGCTCGGCGAGCGTTACATAAGGCGCGTTTAGCTTTCACCCCTGTGACGTCACAGGGATGAAAGGGAAGCAGCTGGACTCCAAACGAGCTGTTTTCAAGCACGCCTTTGGGCTATTTCACTTTGCAAACCTATTCCACGCACAAAAAAAGAGACGACTCAATATAATAATAGAATACCAGAATACCACCTCTTCAAAATATTCTGCTCTGTGTAAATTAACTCTTCTACACTTGTCCCCTGCATGTCTCCGTATTTACTTTGCATCGTCTGTTTCCCGCCGCCTCTCCGTCCTCCCGCGTTCCTCTCAGTAACAGCTGTGGTTCTTCACCGTCGCTGCTCTTCCTTCGTCTCTGGTAGAACTTTCTTCTTTAGCTGCGGAGTAGACAATCTGCTTCCTGTTTCCACCGGCACGCACGTGCTCAGTGCACGTGAGCGGTCACGTTTTCAGCTGCATACAGATGGTGATTGATTCTGATACGCAGCCGAAACGCTGGTGTGGGCGGAGATCGTTTTTTAGACGTAGATGTGTGAATGTGTCCTCTAAGGTCATCCTGTAGATCTGTGGTTCTCTCTGGTCCGGGGAGTTCTGCAGAACCTGAAAATCAGACTGCAGGTCCGTAAATGCTTGTGCAAGAGTAGGAGCTGCCGTGCACAACACTGTGTCATCACTATAAAGGTGAAAATTACACTTACTCACAGGAACACAAATGTTTTTGAGCACATTTTCATAAAAAAAAAAAACCCTGAGCAGAAACCAAAACAATCTGGAAACATCTCAGAACAGTCAAGTTCTCAAACAGATACTTGTGTTTGTCAGAACCAACAACTAATAACCTGGTTTATCTGCATTTAGCCACAAAAACTTCACATCCATCCATTCTTTAGTTTCTGACATGACTCTAAAGGATTCAGGAGGTCGTTCTGCTTCACAGCTGGATAAGACGCCCGGGTTCAGTCCCCCACTGTGACCCCTCGTTGCTCCAGAGGCGCGACCTCTGACCTGTATAGCAGCTGTAAGTCGCTTTGGATAAAATCATCAGCTAAATGAATGTAATGGTCTGTCGTTGGCGAAAACTTGAAACATCTAATGACGCCGCGGCGATGCAGACCGTAAAAGCTGTGATTGGTCGGCTTGATAGCATAATTTCCTCCAAGCCCACAGGAAGTTTGCAACGTTCTGCAACGGGCTTCAAGGTATGTTTTCTTCTGTTTGGTGGTCATGTCACAATGTGTTACCCAATCAGTTGCGACAAAAATGTAGTGCGCCTTCCTACACGACAGGGTGTTCGAGGCACCGCCGTTTCTGTTGGGCGCTGAACTCGCCCCAGTTTACTAGCGGCCGTAAAATGTTTCACTATCAGAGTTTGGTCGATAACATTTGGAAAGTCTAGAAGAGCCGCGCGGCACATTCAAGTTGGCGGAGGCTAAACAGGAAGTTGACACAAACGAACATGTTGCCCCGCCGCCGATGGTGTAATTGCAGAGCACGTCACCAGGGCAAGATGGCGGCTGCCGTATCCGGGAAATTTTGGCTTTGTACAGAGGCAGGAAGTGGAGACGCGGCGGCCATCTTTATCTACAGTCACAGCTCCGCCCCCTCCTGCAGCCGGATGATAAAGTCCCCCCCGACTCTCCCTCCTCCGACTTTAACAGATTATCAGTTATTAATAATTAATCGGAGGAATGATCGACACGCAGCTTCTGTGAGCTGAACTCTGCAGAAATGTGCAAACTAAATATTGACAGAAGCCGTCGCAGGAGATGTATTTCTCTCTGCTCGCAGTCGGAGAGGATTCTGTGCAGCACTTCATCAACGGTGAGTAATACTACATATTACTGTACTCAGTACTGCAGTACTGATCAATACTGAGTTAATGCTCATCAGGGAGGAGACCAGGCAGGATTTATTTCACCCTGAAGCGATTGTGAAAAATATATTTAATTGTGATCTTTGAGGGAACATTTTTATATAATTGTACTTTTTTGTTTATTATATTATTATATTTTTATCAACCATATTTAACTTATTAAGGTTTGATTTTTGCAGGATCTCAATAAAGATGTTTGGTGTCATTTACACAACATGTCCCGCCACTTTTAAAAGCATGTGTTAAAAATTTCCTGAAATGTTAAATAACAAAAGAAAATGTTTTGAGAAAGTTAGAAAGGCTGCCATGTAAATATAGAAGAAAGAAATGTGTATTGTCCTAAAAAAGTAATTTGAAAAACAAGCAACTGAATACTAATTTTTATACTTTGAGTCCGTGTGTTTAGGGTTTACCTGTATAAATAAATAAAGACACAACTTGTTAACGTAAACTCGAGTCTCTGCAGGTGTCTGTTTCTATCTAGTCTGATTAATCGTTCAGTTTGTCCTGATCGTCACGTGTTTGTCACTTAGAGTATATTTCTGTAAAGTATTTAATGTAAACACAAGCTACTATATAAAAAGTCATTTTCACACCTTCAGTATTTTTCATAATTCATATTGTTTTTTGCATTTTGTGCTGTTGTTTGTGCAGTTGCCATGGTGATATACCGCATCGTCGTGTACCAGGAACATTTGTTCCTCCGCGGCGACGCCCACCGAACCACCGTCCAGCTGGTTGGCAGCAGAGGAGCCAGCGAGCGCGTCCCATTGGCTGAGAGATCTGTGAGTCAGAGCCACCACCTAAAATGTTATTTTAGTTAAATAAAATATATCACAGATTTATAAATATATTTGTTTTTAACACTTAATAATAAAATTCCTCTAACTATGTTGTTCTGTTTGTATTTTTCAGGTTTGTCGGGTTTTGAAGAGCATGTGTTGCTGCTGCAAAACCACAGAAGAAAAAGTACAGAAATATAATTATTAATCAATTCTTTTAATATAATGTATATGAGGACATTTAAAGAGGTGGTTTTCTGCTCATTTTCAGGTTCCTCATCTTATTATTGGTTCTACCAGAGCAGGTTTACATGGTTATATTGTTTGTCATCCTGCACATTGCTGCAGCTCATCTTTCCATTCTGTGCTGAAGGCTTCGTTTTAGCTATGGAGTGAAACATCTTGTCTCTAAATGATCTTTGTTGGGAGTTGCTGTTTCTGAGGGCGTGTCGGAGTAGCCGCTTGGCGAGCATTATGACACGTATTTTCATTGTGATGTCACAAGAAAGGGAAGTAAAGGCTGGAATCCAAACGAGCTGTTTTCAGTTCAGAGCAGAGATGGGAACTCACTTTGGGCTTTTTCACTTTGCAAACCTGTTACAGCACAAAAAGGTTTATAACTCGATAAAGGAGAGGGGAAAGCAGAATACCGCCTCTTTAAGGCTAATTGTTCTGTAACTGCTGTTATGAGTGTTTAAACTCTGTTGCCAGGCAGAATACGAGGTTCAGTGTCCCAGGAGCCTTGGAGCTCTGCTATTGGTCCGTTTGGAAGCCCCGCCCACCGCAGCCAGTGATTGGTTCTGTTTGAAGGTCATCGTGACAACACCTGAGGGCGGAGTCTCACTGTTCCCCTGCTACCGATTGGTCAGCTGCTCGACCTCGCTGGCTCTCAGGGATTCGATTGGTCGGTTTTTAAACGTAGCTTCTCGCTAACAAAGTTTATTTATTTGAAGTCTGTGTTAATGTTTGTTTGTTTGTTTTGTTTTTGTTCTGAAGCAAAGTTTGTTTTCAACGACGTCCAACCAATCGAACTGGATCAGAGGGTGAACGAGCTGACGTGGCGCCGTCACACCTATCGGTAATCAATCAGAAGGTATTAATGAGGCGCTCAGCCTGTACGCTGCTTCATTAAGACGTTACAGGTGAAACGGGGCGTGTCTTCACAGGTGGAGTTGCTACGACGACGGTCTTCCGGAGACGATGAAGGCTGACAATGTAATGTCACTTCCTGCTGAGGTTCAATTCTCTGTCTCCAAGGCAACTGACATGATTCTGACTGTTGGCAAAGTGTACGTCCTGAAGAAACGGTTTACGGCAGTTCCTGTTCAGCGCTGCAGGAAGGTTTGCGAGCCCTGTGGTTTGCTCAGGTCAGGACCAGATCCAACACTTCTGCCTCTCACAGATCTACATTACTAGATCATTAGACCAGGTCGAACATGTTCCACTCCGTGTGAGACCTGAGCAGGTTTTAGGCGGGAATATAGAAACTAAAGGGTTCTCAAACCTTCCAGCACAACGGTTTATACCTTTATATGGTCTCTGCTGGTCTTTACTGCTCTGTACTGGTCTTTACTGGTCTGTTCGGGTCTCAGTTGGTCTTTACTAGTCTCTGCTGGTCTGTACTGGTCTCTACTGGTCTTTCTGGTCTTTATGGGTCTCTGCTGGTCTGTACTGGTCTTTACAGGTCTCTGTTGGTCTGTACTGGTCTTTACAGGTCTCTGTTGGTCTGTACTGGTCTTCACTGGTCAATTGTGTTCTGTTATGATCTGTAATATTCTCTGCTGGTCTTGACTGATCTTAACTGGTCTCTGTTGGTCTCTACTGGTCTTTGCTTGTCTGTACTGATCTTTAGTGGTCTGTGTTGGTCTTTACTGCTCTGTACTGATCTTTACTAGTCTGTTCTAGTCTCTGTTGGTCTTTACTAGTCTCTGTTGGTCTTTACTGGTCTCTGCTGGTCTTTTCTGGTCTTTACGGGTCTCTGCTGGTCTTTATGGGTCTCTGCTGGTCTGTACTGGTCTTCACTGGTCTGTTCTTGTCTCTCTTGGTCTTTACTTGTCTCTGCTGGTCTGTACTGGTCTCTGCTGGTCTTTTCTGGTCTTTACGGGTCTCTACTTTTTTTTGTGGTCTTCACTGGTCTGTTCTGGTCTTGTTCTGTCTTCAGACTGGTGGAGTTGGGTCTGCAGAGCTTCCTGTTCTCTCAGAAGCGTTGGTCCAGTTTCCATCAGATCCATCAGCTCTGCCAGCAGACCAGGACCCCGACCTGCAGTGAGACCACCATCCATGAACTATCAGTAATCAATAGAACACAGCAGGTCACTGAGCTCTCAGACTGGAGTTTCCACAAGGAGCTGAAATCTGATCAAAAAGATTTACAGCAGAACAACAACTGAGTTACTTATCACAGATCAATAATCAATAGTCCAGCGAGGGGACCAAACAGGAACGTGTTTGAACCTTCACAGGCCGGAGCAAAACACTTTCATCAATAATCAGATGTGTATTGATTAATCTGCTCCTTTTTCTTTTACATATTCCTGATGTTGATTCTGCGTCATTGATCACGTCTTTCCTGTGTCAGGATTGGTGGAGCGCCTCTGGAGGGAGGACTGGTTCTTCGGACATCAGTTCCTGAACGGAGCCAACCCGACTCTGATTCGCCGCTGCACAGAAATCCCGCCCAACATGGCCGTTACCGAGGAGACGGTGGCGGTGGCCCTGGAGGGCGGAGCCAGCCTCAGACAGGAAGTGGAGGTGAAGCGACCTTTATTACAACAGCGAGTTAAAATTAATTTAAAGCTGAGTGTGAGCCTTAATGAGGTTATTGATTATCTGGTCTTACAGAGGGGGAACGTGTTCCTGAATATTAATCAGGGTATTGATCATCTGGTCTTACAGAGGGGGAACGTGTTCCTGAATATTAATCAGGGTATTGATCATCTGGTCTTACAGAGGGGGAACGTGTTTGTGAATATTAATCAGGGTATTGATCATCCGGTCTTCCAGAGGGGTACCGTGTTTGTGAATATTAATCAGGGTATTGATCATCTGGTCTTACAGAGGGGGAACGTGTTTGTGAATATTAATCAGGGTATTGATTATCCGGTCTTCCAGAGGGGGACCGTGTTTGTGAATATTAATCAGGGTATTGATCATCTGGTCTTACAATGGGGGACCGTGTTTGTGAATATTAATCAGGGTATTGATCATCCGGTCTTCCAATGGGGGACCGTGTTTGTGAATATTAATCAGGGTATTGATCATCCGGTCTTCCAATGGGGGACCGTGTTTGTGAATATTAATCAGGGTATTGATCATCCGGTCTTCCAATGGGGGACCGTGTTTGTGAATATTAATCAGGGTATTGATCATCTGGTCTTCCAATGGGGGACCGTGTTTGTGAATATTAATCAGGGTATTGATCATCCGGTCTTCCAAAGGGGGACCGTGTTTGTGAATATTAATCAGGGTATTGATTATCCGGTCTTCCAGAGGGGGACCGTGTTTGTGAATATTAATCAGGGTATTGATCATCCGGTCTTCCAATGGGGGACCGTGTTTGTGAATATTAATCAGGGTATTGATCATCTGGTCTTCCAATGGGGGACCGTGTTTGTGAATATTAATCAGGGTATTGATCATCTGGTCTTCCAATGGGGGACCGTGTTTGTGAATATTAATCAGGGTATTGATCATCTGGTCTTCCAATGGGGGACCGTGTTTGTGAATATTAATCAGGGTATTGATCATCTGGTCTTCCAATGGGGGACCGTGTTTGTGAATATTAATCAGGGTATTGATCATCCGGTCTTACAGAGGACCGTGTTTGTGAATATTAATCAGGGTATTGATCATCCGGTCTTCCAGAGGGGGACCGTGTTTGTGAATATTAATCAGGGTATTGATCATCTGGTCTTACAGAGGGGGAACGTGTTTGTGAATATTAATCAGGGTATTGATTATCCGGTCTTCCAGAGGGGGACCGTGTTTGTGAATATTAATCAGGGTATTGATCATCCGGTCTTCCAATGGGGGACCGTGTTTGTGAATATTAATCAGGGTAATGATCATCTGGTCTTCCAATGGGGGACCGTGTTTGTGAATATTAATCAGGGTATTGATCATCTGGTCTTCCAATGGGGGACCGTGTTTGTGAATATTAATCAGGGTATTGATCATCTGGTCTTACAGAGGGGGAATGTGTTTGTGAATATTAATCAGGGTATTGATTATCCGGTCTTCCAGAGGGGGACCGTGTTTGTGAATATTAATCAGGGTCTTGATCATCCGGTCTTCCAGAGGGGGAACGTGTTCCTGAATATTAATCAGGGTATTGATCATCCGGTCTTACAGAGGACCGTGTTTGTGAATATTAATGAGGGTATTGATCATCTGGTCCTGCAGAAGGGGAACGTGTTCGTGGTGGACTACAGGCTGCTGGACGGCCTCACAGCCAACACTGTCAACAGGAAGCAGAACTACCTGACGGCTCCACTCATCCTGCTGCACCTGAACTCCAGAAACCAGCTGCTGCCTATTGCTATCCAGGTAACTTGACCCTTGACCTCTGACCCTTGTTTTTCTGGAACATATTTAACGTTACAGTCTCGAGTGTTTTGTGTGCTGAAGTGGTTTTGAGTTTTGTTCCTGGCTCCCGGGGTCAGAGAGTCTCTCCTCCTCATTCTGCTGGAAACTTCTCAGCAGCTGTTGGATGGATCGTTCAAACATTTAAAGTTTCCAGACGATGAAACCTAAAAACTTTGGTGACTCTTCATCATCTGGAGCCTCATCAGGTCACCGAGTTCAGCTTCCTGCCAAATACCTGCCGAGACGGACTTTCAGCTGCACGCTGCTAGTTAGCTAATGTTAGCATCAGCTCCTTACGTGTCCTTGTCTCCTTTCCTAGCTGAAGCAGTCTCCAGGTGAGACCAACCCGGTCTTCATCCCTCAGGATCTGGAAGCTGATTGGCTGACAGCCAAAACATTTGTGCGCTCTGCCGATTTCGCCGACCACGAGCTGCGTTCTCACTTCCTGCGCACACATGTGATGTCAGAGCTCTTCGCCATGGCAACGCTTCGCAACTTTCCCATGGTGCACCCTCTCTACAAGGTACAGCGAGTATTATCTGTGTAACTGCAGTACTCATTTGTGTATAGATACGGCACTGAATGGAGAATTTTCTGAAATTACATAGAAGTTTTGTGTATATTTTATTTGCCTTCATGTGCAGTTGCTGTAGTATTTTTAGCATTTGCAGTATTCGCAGTATGTTTTGTGTTTTCTTATTAATCTCTGTGACACTTTTTATAACTGTCCTGTGAAAACACATATCTCCAAAGTGAGTAAGTGTGCCTTTAATCCGGAGATACGTGGTTTTCACTTTGTGTAGGTGTGGCAGTAGTAGTGTTGCTTGTACTTTCTGCGGTACTTGTCCTGTCCTTTTGCAGCTGTTGGCGCCTCATTTCCGTTTCACCCTGGAGATCGACACTCTGGCTCGCCAGCTGCTGCTGTCTGAGGGAGGGTCACTGAAACAGGTCAGGCTCCGCCCCCATGATATCATGATATGAAATCAACATCAGCTGTTATCTGATCATGTTAGTATTTATTATAGATTTTTAGATAGACTTTTTCCTTATTAGATCAATTTCAGTAGAGTAACTAGGCCAAATGTACTGCAGTATTTATTATAAGCACTATATACACAGCAGTATTCATAAGTACTATATATACTGCACTATTTATTCATTAACACTATATATATACTGCACTATTTATTCATTAACACTATATATATACTGCACTATTTATTCATTAACACTATATATATATATACTGCACTATTTATTCATTAACACTATATATACTGCACTATTTATTCATTAACACTATATATATACTGCACTATTTATTCATTAACACTATATATACTGCACTATTTATTCATTAACACTATATATACTGCACTATTTATTCATTAACACTATATATACTGCACTATTTATTCATTAACACTATATATATATACTGCACTATTTATTCATTAACACTATATATACTGCACTATTTATTCATTAACACTATATATATATACTGCACTATTTATTCATTAACACTATATATATACTGCACTATTTATTCATTAACACTATATATATATACTGCACTATTTATTCATTAACACTATATATATATACTGCACTATTTATTCATTAACACTATATATATATACTGCACTATTTATTCATTAACACTATATATATACTGCACTATTTATTCATTAACACTATATATATACTGCACTATTTATTCATTAACACTATATATACTGCACTATTTATTCATTAACACTATATATACTGCACTATTTATTCATTAACACTATATATATACTGCACTATTTATTCATTAACACTATATATATATACTGCACTATTTATTCATTAACACTATATATATACTGCACTATTTATTCATTAACACTATATATATATACTGCACTATTTATTCATTAACACTATATATATATACTGCACTATTTATTCATTAACACTATATATATATACTGCACTATTTATTCATTAACACTATATATATATATACTGCACTATTTATTCATTAACACTATATATACTGCACTATTTATTCATTAACACTATATATATATATACTGCACTATTTATTCATTAACACTATATATATATATACTGCACTATTTATTCATTAACACTATATATATATACTGCACTATTTATTCATTAACACTATATATATACTGCACTATTTATTCATTAACACTATATATATACTGCACTATTTATTCATTAACACTATATATATATACTGCACTATTTATTCATTAACACTATATATATATACTGCACTATTTATTCATTAACACTATATATATACTGCACTATTTATTCATTAACACTATATATATATATACTGCACTATTTATTCATTAACACTATATATATACTGCACTATTTATTCATTAACACTATATATATATACTGCACTATTTATTCATTAACACTATATATATATACTGCACTATTTATTCATTAACACTATATATATATATACTGCACTATTTATTCATTAACACTATATATATACTGCACTATTTATTCATTAACACTATATATATATATACTGCACTATTTATTCATTAACACTATATATATATACTGCACTATTTATTCATTAACACTATATATATACTGCACTATTTATTCATTAACACTATATATATATACTGCACTATTTATTCATTAACACTATATATACTGCACTATTTATTCATTAACACTATATATATACTGCACTATTTATTCATTAACACTATATATACTGCACTATTTATTCATTAACACTATATATATATACTGCACTATTTATTCATTAACACTATATATACTGCACTATTTATTCATTAACACTATATATACTGCACTATTTATTCATTAACACTATATATATATACTGCACTATTTATTCATTAACACTATATATATATACTGCACTATTTATTCATTAACACTATATATATACTGCACTATTTATTCATTAACACTATATATATATATACTGCACTATTTATTCATTAACACTATATATATATACTGCACTATTTATTCATTAACACTATATATATATACTGCACTATTTATTCATTAACACTATATATATACTGCACTATTTATTCATTAACACTATATATATATACTGCACTATTTATTCATTAACACTATATATATACTGCACTATTTATTCATTAACACTATATATATACTGCACTATTTATTCATTAACACTATATATATATACTGCACTATTTATTCATTAACACTATATATATACTGCACTATTTATTCATTAACACTATATATACTGCATGTATTCATTAACACTATATATACTGCAGTATTTAGTCATAAGTACCATATCTACTGCTGTATTTAGTACTACACACTACTGATTCTTATTCTCTCGTCTCATTAAATATTCAGTACACGGCAGTGGGCGGAGCCGCAGCGTTGGAGTTCCTCAGGAGGGCGTCTGCCTCGCTCACCTATCAGGATCTTTGTTTACCAGATGACATCACGGGGCGTGGCCTGGACTCCATTCCTGGTTATTATTATCGTGACGACGGCCTGCGGCTGTGGGACATCATCCACAAGTGAGCTGTGATTGGTCGAGCGGGTGTTTCCTGTTGCAAAGTGTGATGTCACTGCGGGGTCAGAAACCTGGTGGGAGTTCAATCTCGAAACCTTTCGGCACGTTTCCTTGAAACATTGTGCAACGTTCAACAAGGAGCTTCGAGGTCCCAGGTGTTAACCAATCAGCTGCGATAAGTTTGTAAACACAACAGTGTTAAAAAGGCGGGAAAGTGCAGACACAACTCGCCCCTGATGGCGGTGGCGGCTGTTATTTTTAAACTATGATGATGAAGCTGATTAACTAATAAACAATAATCAAAAATAAAAGCAGGATTACTGTGTTGGTGTTGGCAGAAAAACAAAGTAACCTCTCTGACTGACTGCAGGTACGTAGGGGGCGTGGTCAGCTACTATTACCGCAGCGACGATGATGTCATCAGAGATTCAGAGCTGCAGAGCTGGATCAATGAGGTCATCGTGTTTGGGCGCCTCGGAGACGAGAACAAAGGTATTTACTGCAGTACTCCTGTTGTACAGTATTTAAACTGCAGTACTGTGGAGTTTTTACTGCAGTATTCCTGTTGTGCAGTATTTAAACTGCAGTACTGTGGAGTTTTTACTGCAGTATTCCTGTTGTGCAGTATTTAAACTGCAGTACTGTGGAGTTTTTACTGCAGTATTCCTGTTGTGCAGTATTTAAACTGCAGTACTGTGGAGTTTTTACTGCAGTATTCCTGTTGTACAGTATTTAAACGCTGGAGTTGAAACAGTTAGTACCAGTAACCTCAAAATCTGTCTCTCAGGTTTCCCAAAATCCTTCACTTCAGCGACGGACCTGACGTACTTTGTTACCATGGTGATCTTCAACGCGTCGGCACAGCACGCGGCCGTTAATGACGCTCAGGTGACATCAGACTCTGTGGGTCTTTAAAGGTCCTGTACCTCACTGGCCGGTGGTTAAATCCTGGATCTGAATGTCTCCCCGTGCAGCTGGACTATTTCGGCTGGATGCCCAACGCCCCGGTGGGTCTGCTGCGCCCTCCTCCGGCCTGCAGGGGGCGCTGCAGCGAGCGGAGCCTGCTGGACAGCTTTCCTGACGTGGACGCCACTGTGCACGGCCTCGCCACCGTTTACCTGCTCAGCAAGAAACCTGCAGACTTCGTATGAACACGCAGACCACAAACACAACACGCACACTTCATGTTAACATCCTGTCCCACACGCTGCCCCAGCTAGCCGAGCTAGCGGCTCAGTGGATGCTAAAGTCAGAGAGTCCGATTTATCCGCTGAATGTCGTTAATGCCGGAGAAGGTTTGTGGTTAAAGCAGGAGCTTTTACAGGAGGCTCCGGGTTAAAGGTGTTCAAACTGTTGTTTGCTTTCCCAGATAATTCTCTGGAGAATGTGCCTTTAATGCTGGAATTACTCGGGAGCTGAAATATGCTGAAAGTTAGGAACCGATAATCAGAATCTAAACGCACGGGTCTCATCCAATCCACAGTTCGTGGAAGTTTGGTTCCAACCCTGGTCACGCGTAGTTGTAGTAGGCGTGTCCTCCTCCTGCCGTCTGGCTGTGAAGTGATTCCTTCCTAAAACACTTGAACACAACTTTTACAAACTTTTTGGGCTTGTGAGTTGTAAAGCTATTAAACGTCTCCTCGTGACCTCTGCCACAGGTCACGACCTCTGTTACAGGTCACAGCCTGAGGTCACAACCTCTGTTACAGGTCGTGACCTCTGTTACAGGTCACAGCCTGAGGTCACGGCCTGAGGTCACGGCCTGAGGTCATGGCCTCTGTTACAGGTCGTGACCTCTGTTACAGGTCGTGACCTCTGCCACAGGTCACGGCCTGAGGTCACAACCTCTGTTACAGGTCGTGACCTCTGCCACAGGTCACGGCCTGAGGTCACGACCTCTGTTACAGGTCACGATCTCTGTTACAGGTCGTGACCTCTGTTACAGGTCACGGCCTGAGGTCACGACCTCTGTTACAGGTCGTGACCTCTGTTACAGGTCGTGACCTCTGCCACAGGTCACGGCCTGAGGTCACAACCTCTGTTACAGGTCGCGACCTCTGTTACAGGTCGTGACCTCAGGCCGTGACCTCTGTTACAGGTCACGGCCTGAGGTCACGACCTCTGTTACAGGTCACGACCTCTGTTACAGGTCGTGACCTCTGTTACAGGTCGTGACCTCTGCCACAGGTCACGGCCTGAGGTCACAACCTCTGTTACAGGTCGTGACCTCTGTTACAGGTCGTGACCTCTGCCACAGGTCACGGCCTGAGGTCACAACCTCTGTTACAGGTCACGACCTCTGTTACAGGTCGTGACCTCTGTTACAGGTCACGACCTCTGTTACAGGTCGTGACCTCTGTTACAGGTCGTGACCTCTGCCACAGGTCACGGCCTGAGGTCACAACCTCTGTTACAGGTCGTGACCTCTGTTACAGGTCACAGCCTGAGGTCACAACCTCTGTTACAGGTCGTGGCCTCTGTTACAGGTCGTGTCCTCTGTTACAGGTCGTGACCTCTGTTACAGGTCACAGCCTGAGGTCACAACCTCTGTTACAAGTCGTGGCCTCTGTTACAGGTCGTGTCCTCTGTTACAGGTCGTGGCCTCTGTTACAGGTCGTGTCCTCTGTTACAGGTCGTGTCCTCTGTTACAGGTCACGGCCTCTGTTACAGGTCGTACAGGTCGTGCCCTCTTGTACAGGTCGTGACCTCTGTTACAGATCGTGACCTCTGTTAAAGGTCACGGCCTGAGGTCAGAGTTCTTCTTCTCTTATAAACTCAGGTAGAGTGCCTGTCGTATTGATCAGCTCTTAATGTTCCTGAAGGTTCCTCTGGGCGGCTCGAAGCAGGTCACGGCCTCTGTTACAGGTCGTGACCTCTGTTACAGGTCGTGACCTCTGTTACAGGTCGTGACCTCTGTTGCAGGTCACGGCCTCTGTTACAGGTCGTGACCTCTGCCACAGGTCACGGCCTGAGGTCACAACCTCTGTTACAGGTCGTGACCTCTGCCACAGGTCACGGCCTGAGGTCACAACCTCTGTTACAGGTCGTGACCTCTGTTACAGGTCGTGACCTCTGCCACAGGTCACGGCCTGAGGTCACGGCCTCTGCCACAGGTCACGGCCTGAGGTCACGGCCTCTGCCACAGGTCACGGCCTGAGGTCACGGCCTCTGCCACAGGTCACGGCCTGAGGTCACGGCCTCTGTTACAGGTCGTGACCTCTGTTAAAGGTCACGGCCTGAGGTCAGAGTTCTTCTTCTCTTATAAACTCAGGTAGAGTGCCTGTCGGATTGATCAGCTCTTAATGTTCTTGAAGGTTCCTCTGGGCGGCTCGAAGCAGCAGCTCTTCACCGAGAGCGTTCCCATGGAGATGGCGGCCTGTTTCCATAGCGACCTGAAACGTCTCAGCTGTGACATCGCGGCGAGGAACGTCGGCCTGAAGCTGCCATATGTCTACCTGGACCCCGCCGCCGTGGAGGACAGCGTGACGCGCTGATGCTACGGCTAGCACTGTCTGCATTACCTGAATATGTTAGCTTAGCATGACCTTAATGAGTTAGCTTAGCAGTACATGAATTAGTTAGCGTCACCCGAGTGTGTTAGCGTAGCATCACCTGAATGAGTTAGCTTAAGATGATGTGAATGAATTAGCTTAGCATCACCTAAATGAGTTAGCTTAGGATGATGTGATTGAATTAGCTTAGCTTCACCTAAATGAGTTAGCTTAGGATGATGTGATTGAATTAGCTTAGCATTACCTAAATGAGTAAGCTTAGGATGATGTGAATGAATTAGCTTAGCATCACCTAAATGAATTAGCTTGGCATCATGTAAATGTGTTAGCTTAGCATCACCTGAATGAGTTAGCATGGCATCATGTGGATATGTTAGCTTAGCATCACCTGAATGAGTTAGCATGGCATCATGTGAATGTGTTAGCTTAGCATCATCTGGCTGAGTTATTTATTTTTCATTTGAATAAACAGTTTATAAAATGTATTAGTCAAGTGTTCTCAGTTTGATTTTCTCCAAATACTTTAGGATTTTCTGAAGTATAAAAGTACTCATTTAGAAAGGCTCCTATAATAACTGAATCTTTAAGATTCATCAAACACACCATATTTTATAGAAGTACATTAATACATGATCACGTGTTGTGGTTAAAGTGTAAATCATTACAGTTACATCCTCTTCTTTCTAACTCAGAGAGCTCTGACCAATCAAAGCAAAGTTACCTCACACATTTAAATCTAGTCTTTTAAAACAAATCAAAGCCTTGCTGTTACAATTAAACACAATGTTGTTGTCACTGAAAACTAAATGTCAGAGTGTCTCTGGTAATATTTTTGTACCGGTTTATCCTTCAGTTCATTGACCAGATGTAACATGTCAGTGGTGGTCTGCAGGTCAGTGGTGGTCTACAGGTCAGTAGTGGTCTACAGGTCAGTAGTGGTCTACAGGTCAGTGGTGGTCTACATGTCAGTGGTGGTCTGCAGGTCAGTGGTGGTCTACAGGTCAGTAGTGGTCTACAGGTCAGTAGTGGTCTACAGGTCAGTGGTGGTCTACATGTCAGTGGTGGTCTGCAGGTCAGTGGTGGTCTACATGTCAGTGGTGGTCTACAGGTCAGTAGTGGTCTACAGGTCAGTAGATGCCTGCAGGTCAGTGGTGGTCTACATGTCAGTAGTGGTCTACATGTCAGTAGTGGTCTACAGGTCAGTGGTGGTCTGCAGGTCAGTGGTGGTCTACAGGTCAGTGGTGGTCTACAGGTCAGTGGTGGTCTGCAGGTCAGTGGTGGTCTACATGTCAGTGGTGGTCTGCAGGTCAGTGGTGGTCTACATGTCAGTGGTGGTCTACATGTCAGTAGTGGTCTACAGGTCAGTGGTGGTCTACATGTCAGTGGTGGTCTGCAGGTCAGTGGTGGTCTACATGTCAGTGGTGGTCTACATGTCAGTGGTGGTCTACATGTCAGTGGTGGTCTGCAGGTCAGTGGTGGTCTGCAGGTCAGTGGTGGTCTGCATGTCAGTGGTGGTCTGCAGGTCAGTGGTGGTCTACATGTCAGTGGTGGTCTGCAGGTCAGTGGTGGTCTGCAGGTCAGTGGTGGTCTACATGTCAGTGGTGGTCTGCAGGTCAGTGGTGGTCTGCAGGTCAGTGGTGGTCTACATGTATGTATTTGCTGTATTGTCACCCACTTAACTTTCTGCATTTATTGGCTGAAATAAATGAATCAGCAGCTTGAATGTTTGTTTGCAGCCAAACTACAGAGCAAAATCACACTCTGACTGAACTAACTTCTATTAGTGTCATTAAATAGCATTCTTTGCACCTGCAAATTATCTAAGAGAGAGGAATTAGATATGGTGTTGCTTTATCAGAAGAACTCTGTCTGGACTGAGTAAATTCCCCCACGCAGCTAACATTACAATAACTGTAGAGAGAAAATGGAAGAAGAGAACATGTCTGTCTCACCTGGTGACATCTAAGTGTAGCTCTGCGAGCGCAGTTGACACACACCCTGGGGGCTAAACCCCCCGTCCTTCTGTCTTAGTGACGTCCCTGAAACAGCAGCAGGCTCTCCCAGCTTCCTCAGCCGGTTGGTTTGGAGTCTGAACTCAGGGCCCAGAATCGTTGCTCGGGTCTGGATAGGACTTGCAGTGGCTGCTGTGGGAAAATAAAGTGTCTGACTTCAGCACAACATGCTGTGAGTTGTGCAGTCAGAGTTTACAGCAGCAGCGCTCTGTGAGTGGCTGCTCTGGCCTCCTGAAACCTTTAAGACAGTATTTCATTTATTCACGTGCTGCTGGTTCAGTCCGTTAAAAGAAAGACTCTTAATCTCAGTGTCTGATAACGCAGGCTGTTGTTGTTCCTGTTCTGACCCTGAGCGGCTGTTAGGTCTAGCGTTTAATCTGACACATTTCTAAATTATCCTTACGCCCTGTAGGCAAAATCAAACCGCAGAAACAGTTAAAAGCATTAAAGTCTGTTCTTCATAACGAGTATGACTGAAATCTGTTGCTTCTGTAAAGGTGTGAGCTGCGCTCTGTTGGTCGGCCTTCCTCCTGTTACTGTAAAGCTCACAGGGAATAAAACACATGTTCAGTACCTTTACGCCTTCTTTTAGTAGGTGTTGTTTTCATCATTCTGTCTGGTGAGAGAAAGCTGTTACTGGAAGGCTTCAGCAGAGCGTGTCATACAGGGTTGTACTTATTATATCACCCTCTGTTCTCACTGCCCCTATTCCATCATCCACATCCATCAAACTGTGCTCTGTGCAGAGTCTGGATTCAGCAGTCCCTGTGTGCGATAAAGGTCACCCAATCAGAGCTCTGATAACTGAAACAAGTGTTTAATAAATACGTCGTCAGAATTCATCAACAGGATGGATCCAGACGTTAAACTGGGACTTGAATGAAGCAGAAATGTGTCCGTCAGACGAGCTCAGGGGTTTTTCTTGCATTGATACAATAACATTTGTTTTGACTCAGAGTATGAGGTTAAACAAAAAAACTATGCTGAGAAAACTAGAAGGCTGTAGTTAGATCAGCTTTATGAACTTTAATGTGCCAGTTGAACAAAGTCGATCTTCTGACTTCAACTCCTTTTCTCTGAGCGTCTCTCTGCTCCAGGATGTTTCTACCTGAGGAGCAGAGTGCTCGTCTCATCCAATCCCAGACAGTTCTGCGTCTGTCAGACGGCCTGCAGGGCTTACTGCCCCAGCTGCAGAGCAGTAACACAGGGTAACGCAGGTAGATTTTGTTAAAATACTTCTGTCGCTAATATTAGGACGTTCTTCTGGGCCTGTCAGAGAACACAGATCTGATTCTGAACCTGCTGCTGAACCCAGGAGCTGTTAAAGTCCAGGAGTTTCTAACTGAATTAAAGTGAATTCATTTCTCATGGAGGTGAAAAGGAGCCAGAGTCACATTTAAAGAGTCACTTCCCCAAACAGAGACACACAGAGGAGCGAAGACTGAACCAGGACTCTGCAGATATTAAATGAGTTGATCTACAGGAGGAACTGATCTGAGAGCTGCTGCACGGACTTGGTTCTGTTAGAGGTTAAATTGTCACGTGTCATCTGAATTTCTTTGACATAAATTTCCTCCATTAATTTGTGAAGAAACAAAATCACCAGAATGCAGGAAAGTAAGTGTTTCTTGCTCAATTGTTTCAGGGGGAGGCCCCCAGACCCCCCAGCTGAATTATTATTATCATCCTGCCTCGTGCGCTCCGTCTCAGGGAGGGAGGAGACCGGAGGAGCAGCCTCCAGACTGACCAATGAAACAGCGTCCTCAGTCTCTGCGCTTCCAGCCGCTTTTCTTTCTTCGGAGACGATGGCCTGGGTTTGGATCACTCTGATGACTCTAGCCCGCTCAGCACGGCCCAGGAGCCGCAGCGGGACGCGGACGGAGGTCTGGCCGGCCTGAAGGCGCTGTTCTCGGACCCGCCGCTGGAGACCGAGAGCTGGGGAGGATTTGTCCCGGTGCCGGTCTGGAGGTTTCTGAAAGGTAAAACCACCAGGTCCAGGTCTTTGAGAGGACTCAGCTGTAGCTTTTAATTGTAATGAACATGAACCCCCCCCCCCCCCCCCCCCCAAACACTAAAGTAAACCGGGAACTGA